ACCAGGAAGCAAGCTGGAGGATGCCCCAAAAACGGGCCAGCCTCTGCTGGCTTGCCTCTCCGGGGGACCCTCCGTATCCCCCCCGGTTTGCACTGGGTGCAGCAAGAGCCGGAGGGTGGGAGCGGGCACGACCCCGAGTGGGCAGTGCTGCAAGGAGCCACGGCTCAGCCCCAGATGCTCTCGGGGTCCACGGTGGCATTTCTGTCCCGAGACAGCCATGTTCAGCTCCCACCTCTCCCCCCTCCATGAGCCGGGTCCACCTTCCAGCCGGAAGCATCCCAGGGATATCTTCCTCGCAAGAAACCAGCAGAGCAAAGCTCATGACCCAACCCCGGACCTGTAATTTCTGCACTGTTTACTTATGGTGTGGGCTTGAATGCTCTCAGCCTCCGCTCGGGAAAGCCAAGCTGGACACGGGGCCCTGGGGGGGCTGAACTCTGCATGGGGGGGCCGAGGGGACGCCGAGAGAGGGAAAAATGCTGGAAAAGCTGCAAAGCTTCAGGGCACTTTGTGCTAGAAAGCAGAACAGGAGGGGTGGGGGAAGCAAAAATAAATAAATAAAATGAATTCAAGGGAACTCTGACAATGCTGCAGGGCAGGTTTGAGCCGCAGCAGATAAGCGCGGGCGCAGGGACAGATGTGTGCCGGGGCGGCTGCAATGCTGCGCGGCAGGTCGGGGAGTGCCGGCAGTGCTGAGCAGGGCGGGGGGCCCCAGCGGAGCCCCCCAAACTCCTGCAGAAAGCCTCAGGGTTGGGGCAGGGCGGTGGGCTGAGCAAGGCTGAGCCCTGCGGCCGGCTGCTTTCCCTCTCGCCGTGCCGTATCTTGGCGTGGCGATGAGTTTGCTTTTTAAATAGTCTCAGAAAAAAATAAGCAATTTTTTTTTTCTTTTTTTTAAAAAAAAGAATGGGGTGAAAGTTTCAAAGCGGCCCTAGGGAGCCAGTGGCACACCCCCTCTTCTACCCGGGTCCCTGTAATGCCCCGTCGTGCCGGGGCTCTACGCCCGGCCGTCCCCAGCCACACACAGCTCTGCGTGCCGGCCGCCTGCAGCGGTCTCAGCTGCTCAGAAATGCAGCTTCGATTTGCATTTCCTCAGCCAGCTGTTCATGTTGACATCGTATTAAAGCCGGGGCTTTCTCCAAGAGAGAAGGCAAGATCGCAGCCAGCTGTGCGCCGGGATCCTGGGATCGGCTGGGGGGCCCCCCCACCCGCCCAGCAGGGGCGATATATCACAGCCGAGCCGGGCTCGCTGAGAGCCGAGCGAGATTTGCTAGGGTTTCTCTTTTCCCTTTTCAGGGCCCGGTTCCAGGAGTCAGGTGGTTAAACGAGATGGAGATTTATATATCAAAGTGAAAAGAGCAAGCTGGGTTTCCCCCGCATCTCGGCGTTGGGCTCTCTCCCGGACCACGCTCCGCAGCTAGGATTCCCCAGCCCCGGCAGGGAATTGCTGCCGCCCTAGGAGAGGTGTCACAGGGAGGGGGACAAACACAAGTCCCCCTTTCTCTGTTGACACCAGCAAAATTTGGCCAAGATGCTTGGATTTGACGCTGTAAAGATAAATCCATCTGGGAAAGGTGGGGAGAGAGGAGAGCTTTAGAGACACAAACGGGTCCAAGGAATCAGAGAGGATGCTGAAAAAAAAGCTCCAAAA